GTGAGGTGCTTAATGTTTAGTGCCCATTATCTAATGTTTGACATTCCACCACAGGTACCGCCAAGCCGAGAATTCGTAAAACTGTAAAGAAAGGCTCACGCTGAGTCACTATCTTCAACAGTTTTCCTAGGGCACAGAATACGCAGATATGCAACTAATATATCAGTTCAGAGTTTATTTTTGTACTGTTAAAGGCCTGTTTTTCAGGCAATTAAAATTTTCAGCCTCCGTTTCCATGTTCCGCGAATTTGTTAGACATGCGGCAGATCTCGCACTGTGCGCAAAGGGTAACGCTAGCGCTTGGCATCCATTATCAAAACAATGTTTGGTTACATTTTAGAGGTAATTGCGCAAAAGTTATGTCATTGCTTTATCACATAAAGGTGGAACAGATTATTGGACGAAGCAGGCTGTACTATTATGCTGCGACGAACCTGCATTTACGCCACTTTGTCTGCGTTAAATACCCAAATTTGTACAGTGCCAAATTAACGCAAAAAACAGTAGCGACGTGTTCATCTAAACTAGGGTATTCCCTAGCTTACAGCTAGTATACAGGGATCGTTTGCTTTGCTATATATGTGCGGTTTTTACTGATATGAAACTATACTGGGTATGGACTAAACTAAACTTTTATCAGACTTGAATCTGCCATCGTTTAAATATTTCAAGAGAATAAATTCAGGACAAAAGAAGAAACGAGTATATTGTTGGCCTATAAACTACTTTAATTATCAATAAAATTTGGAATCTGACATTTTATTTAAATATAATAACACTCCATTGTACTACGGTGTTAGGCATAATTTTAATATGTTGCTACCGTTAATTGCTAAATATTTTAGCTGAGGTATAGTCTATCCAATATGCGAATCATGCTGATTGAGAATGTTATATCTCAAATGAAAAGATAACGGATTGTATCTCACGTCGACCATAATAATTCCATGTAAATGCTGTTCATATGACCCTCTGCAACACTTAATTTCACTGCACGCATTAAAAAACGAAGCGAGCATTGTGCGGATTGCCACTAACCGTGCCTCCACTAATGCCCTCTCATTTCTAGGCCAGCTTACTTCAGCTCTCTCACTACGTGGCTAAGTGACATCGTAAAGTCTGCGAACCTGGTGACTGGTCAGGCTATATCTTCCTAGTCCTATGAGTTTGTGCTCATTGGAGTGGTAAATAAACCTAAAAGTGAAAGGTCTTTAATTAATTTTAAACAGGTCGTTAAACTTTTAACGTAATCCGCCATGATAGAAGTTCAAAAGTAAATCTTCGCCGAGTAGGGTACATTGGACCAGGTACGTACCTAGTAGTAGTAGTACTCTTGTTAGGTTATATTATTGTATCTAGTAGTACTACAGCAGTATCTAGTAGTACTAGAGTAGCGGTTCGTACCACAGGCACTTGGGCCGTTTCAATAATACAAGTGCCGCGGAGCGACAGCGCTCATCCTAGGACTCTACTGCGGTACTCCTGTGGTGGAGTGGTGGGCATTTTTAGTAAACCTGTTATCCAAATGTTTCACATACGCGCTCGAAACAGTGGAAGGCACAGGGAATGGTATCAGGAACTTCTTCAAAAGGAATGTTCTTTGGACACGGTATCGCGTATGAAAGTTGCCACAAGATGGGCGCGTACGGTTTAAAGTTGTCTTCAGAATTAATAGATGGAAAACTCCCATCAGTAGCGTGAGTAGCAACAACATATTTTGCCAAGACGAATAGGTAAGCCACTCTTGGGTGTATCCACTTTAACCTACGCAAAGCACTACATGGCTAAAAATTAAAATAAAGCAGCTGCCACTGTAACTCATTAACGCAGTGTAAAACTAACGCCAGTTACCACCACCACATGCATTGGCAGTTGGCTCACTGGCAGTGGCATACGTTAACATGTAAACAACACTGACAGCTAGCAGAATAGCCATAGAAATTATAGTTCTTAAGGAGCATAAACTTTCTTCAACAAATTTAGCCGTTTTGAAATTTCATCGTTGGACATTGTAGCGCTCATAACATCCAGGCATGTATAGATCTTCCTACTCACAAAACCCACAGTCAAAATCTTTCTATACAGTAACAGTAAAAAAATCCAGTTTAACACCGCCTTTTGAGGGTCAAAAAGGTTATCCGACACTTTACTCTTGTTATGCACATGTCGCAAAGATTGAAGTACCATTTCATGGTCGTTTCATAAGACCAATAAAAATGCTAAGGTCAACCGCGGTGGACCGACGGTCCATTTAACTTGTTAAATTTACTGGACCGAGAGAGATTTTGGTGGTCTCGGACCACGGTCCACCGCCTAACGTCGAAGACTGCTTTGGTAGTAAATGCAGTTTGTGTTTATTTACAATCATAGTATTGAACGCTGTGGCTATATATGCCCGGCAGCCGGGCACGGTCTTTGATTTCCTAAATGCTTGGCAGTTCTTAATCCTAACCCTTGTTTACTTGAGATAACGCTGAAAATTAAAAACTGCCGGAGCATTTAGGAAATCGAAGACCGTGCCTGGCAGCCGTCAGATATATGCCGGCTGCCGGGCATATAGCCACTCAGATTATTGAAATGGTCCAAGTGCTTGTGGTACCGACAACTGTATATGATGTGTAGGCTTGTGTATTAATTATTATTACTAGTAATATTACTAGTATTGCATTACTCATTAGCTCGAGTATTACGTGAGTACATTAGCTGTAATTTGTAAAATTTACTATACGTATACACGTAACAGAATAGCCTGTATTCGCTCTAGATTACACCTTTGAAATATGGGATTATATTAGTGCTAGAGCCAGCACATGTTTATAGGGGTAACCTTTCTAAATAATCACCTCATATTTACTGACACCATGCTCAAAGGGAAAACAGTTTTATGTTTGCATATAGTGGCTTTACTAATGCTAGCAATAATAACATTCCTATTCATATTTAAAATGGTTGTGTGATTTTTATGAATGGTTTCAGACATGTACAAGTCAAGTGTACTTTTGACACGGCTACACCATTAACAAGGATGGACAAGATATTGGAGAGCCTTTTGCAGTCTGGGCATCCCCCTGGCTTGCAGAAAAAACTAGTAGAAAAGTTGGTGACCAGCGCCAGCAGGCCTATTTCAGAATCGGTAATAATAGTTAAGGTGGTGTAATGGTTTTAGTGCATAGTAGTGGCTTGCTATTAAACTTTAAAGCCAAGTGGTGTACACAGTCCCCTGTATACTTCACTTATAAATATATGTGTACTGAGGAGTGACTTGTACATACAGCTAATAGATGTGTATGCAAAGCATGAAAATGTGTGGATGGCTCATGGCTGTGATATAGAATAATTGGTTTACAATGACTGTAAAATGCAAGAGTTATTTATTTTAACTATTGTTGTCAACATAACCTTGTTGTGGTCACTTCTGGTGTTAGAATCACGTGTGCATGCCTGATTCCATGTGGATATATGATTGTTAGCTGTTGTCCGAGTTCAAAGGATATAATTTTATTATTTCAGGTGTGTGTGAATATACTTCAACTCTCTAGCAAGTGGGTGGTCAATGGAAATGTAACACACCTACCAGCATCACTTGGCACAAAAGTATGCTAGTTATTGATACTGCACATCAATCTTGTACTAAGCAATCCACCTAGTATTCATGGTGTATATGTGGAAGATAGACTTTTTTTGAATCTATGATGACCACTACTTATTGTGCAGAGTTATAAAAAAAATTGCCAGGCAGTAAGTACTTGGTGTCAGACAACAAAACAGGCAGCTATACGTACTCACCCCAGCAGAAACTAGATTGCTTAAAAAACATAGGAATTATACTCCCCCCATGCTTACAGTACTGTCATATTGCCTCTGTCCATAAGTAAGCTGGTTTTGTCTCCTAGCCCTGTTTCCCCTGATTTGATGTTTGCAAATATAGCCACCCATGCTTAACCCAAGTTGCATATCAAGTAAAGTACGACTGGTGGTGTATGTTCGATGCAATTTGAAAAAACAACCCTGCTCAACTTCCCATTGTTTGCAACAAAATTCCCTGTTACTGGTGTTTTTGTTAGGTTTGTTAGGAATTTCTTGGCAGCGAGTATTTGCTGCTGTCATTGAGAGCAGGCAGCAGACTAACTGTTTTTTTATCAAAAACATATTCATACGGAACTTTAGAAATTAAAATAATGCATTAATTTTTCATTAGCTGCCAATATTTACTTGAGAAAATACTTGGTTTTTGAGAACAAAGTTCCCTTTAAAACAGTTTAAAACGTATTTAAAACGGATCTGTATCTCTGCTGCAGGTCTTCCTGTCCTTTAGCAGCCACAATAGGATGGTGCTGGAAAAATACATGTCAACGGATACTCTTGTCTTATGGATGTCAACTACAAACAAGACGCTCCTTGCATGGTTAGCTCAAATGATTGCTGAACGATCAAATCTATGAGTGGTAAAATAGGGTACATGGATAAAGCGGTCAATTCGATAATAAAACATGTCATTACAATAGTTTGATAACATCTGCTGTTTTCATTTTCATTCATTCTGTATCTTTTTTAAGCGTACCAATCATGATGATCGGGGAAATATCTGACACGGCAACACGTAGGTTGTGTCTCGGATGCGTGGCTGTGTTGACTATGATGTTACTCTTGTTTTTTTTCAGGCCAGAGACAGTGAAGCTCATCCATGGAGTCCTGAAGCTGCTGTTTGCTCATCAGAGCTTCACGAAGCTTGCCCACATTGTGCAGCGGATGGCCATCAGCTACGTCCGAGAGCATCCGGACATTCAGGTAGCTTGTTCAACCTAGGAGATACTTACTATACCCGTAGATTTCTGATAACAGATAGTAGATTACGTCAGTGATAGATGCGTATTTTCAACTATGTTGTTAAATCGTAAAAATCAGATAAATTAATCGAACTAGCATTTCTTATGGTAACTTCTGGAAATGTATTCGTTCTTTCCTCTGTGAACCTGGTCTTCAAATTTAATCATTTATAAGAATGTTTTGAAACTGTAGAACTATAATTCAGACACTTATGTGGTTCTATACAGTGCCGTTTGATATTATTGTGTGACACGCATTGGCAATCTTGAATGTATTCACTGTTTGATCTCATCCATAGGTTCTCTCTGCCATAGCATCACTTATGCTAGACTTCAAGCATTGTATTCCACATGGTGACTTCACAGAGCGTTTCTGCATAGCAATTATAAACGACATGGCCATCACTGAAATACCTCAGGACACCACTAAATTTCTTGGTGGTGAGTGTATAAATATGTTATATTTCCCTCATCAAACAAGTGATACCTGTGCCACAGTTAAAGGTACATAATGCCTCCACCTAATGTGGAAAATTAGATCATACCTTTGTGTTGAACCAAATGGTACCAAATGGTGTATGAAACCAAATGGTACTGCCACATAGTAGGCGAAAATAGATGATACTTTAACAGCGTGCGAAATTAACGTCCGGAGTCAAATACTCCCTGAATTACTGTTGGACTCCCTGATTTGGCATATGCAGGAGTCTGTGTGACTCCCTGAAAATTCTGCCATACTAACTAGTTTGTTCCAGAGCGCGGCCTCGCGGAATTACCGTATTTTTTCAGCAAATGTCCAAAGAAAATTTGGTAGACGTGCAACCGCATGAATCTTCAAAATAAGCACGTGTTATTGTTAATATCATAAATTTTGAACTTCAGACTGCGGACTCCCTCATTTTGGTGCGGACTCCCTCTTTTTGAGGGTAGAGAGTCCGTTGGACTCCCGTGTTCAAAATGTAATTTCTACCCTTGCCTTAATGTTGGATTAAGGTTGATAGTAGTAGTGCCGCCTAGTGGATCAAAAATAGACGCTATCTTGATGTTGGTGTCAGTTGAATGAAGATAGTAGCTTCGCATAGTGGTTTGAAAATACATAGTGCTTTTGTGTCGAGTGATAGTTAAATTACCTTTGTCTATTGGGTCGAAAATAGATGACCCCATCACTCGGTCGATGGAAGATCAATGTGGCCTCTTGTCATTTTTCCTATGTGCAATGGTTTGTACGTTATGTTGGCTTGTAAATTATATTGTTGTATATAATACTTTGGCTTCTGCATTATGTTAGCTTGGCCGTCGTGTGTCCCTGTACGTTTATTTGACTTGTACATTACTGTGGTTTGTATGTTATATTGGCTTGTATATAACATGTTGGTTTGTACGTTATGCTTGCTTGCGCATGATTACGTTGCCTCGTATGTTACGTAGGCTTGTCCATCGCGTTGCGTTATACATAACATCAGGAGTCTATCAATATTATAATTAATATTGATATAATTCAATAATATCAATAATATTGTATTAAGATATTATTGATATAATATCAATAATATCAATATAATATTAATATTAATTATTATTGATAGACTCCTGATAACATTCGATTGTTTCCGCAGTTGTCAGGGACGTGAAGCGTGTGACGGATCTGCTAAGCTTCGTCATGTCGAACGCCGATGGCGACTGCACGCGCAGCAGCCTGAAGGCTGTGTACGGCATCATCGCCTGTACGGACGACGCCGTGCGGCCGTCCATCGTTCTCGCGTCCGTCGTGCAGGTAGTGACGATGGATGTAGCCGTGGCGGTGATGCAGCAGCTCGTCACGCCGGAGACAGAGGTGAGGTCACACACATATGACGGATCGTGAGGTCACACACATATGACGGATCGTGAGGGCACACACATATGACGGATCGTGAGGTCACACACATATGACGGATCGTGAGGTCACACACATACGCCTAAGAAAAAAAGTTGTTTGTTTCCGCTAACGAGCTGAAAAAAATTGTACACGGTGGTAGGCAGGGAAAACTTTTTTTTTGTATTCTAACAATACTTGTTTTATAACAGCCCATATAATGACTTCAAAGTCAAATCAATGCATTCACCGATCGATATAACGTTGGGATTTTTTTTATAAAAAAAAACATTTAGTACATTTTTTTCTGAATTTTTTTTTTGCCGATTACAATAAAAAGTTTCCACACAGGGGTTTAAAATGGACTCGGTCGGGTTAGCGGAAACAAACGTCTTTTTTAGGCCTTAGAGCTGTGATCATCTTAGGTTTTCAGTAGGCCTGACACTAGTCATACCACGAGCGAATCCATCTCTCATGAAGCTCTGAAACTATCATACGATGGATATACCTGTCGAGAGAGATTTTGCAGACGTGTAGGTGTAAACACTGATTGTTGTCACTACGTATTTTGCTATTTGGTTATTAACCTGCTGCTCATTGTTATTTAGATCAAGATAAAATTATCAGTATCATGGTCGCTCTACTCAGGTATGGGTATTCATGCTAAGTTCCATAAAGAATCATTAAAAAGTGGGCTCGAAATGGTAATCAGCTATCGTTATTTGTGGTGTGCTAAGCTGCTGGTGATTTCTCACGTTGTTTGTTGTTGTGTTCTTGGCAGGACGAGACGCTGGGAGTGGTAGCAAACCGCATGGTTGACTGGCTGTCGTGGCCCCTCGCTAGCAATGCTGACAGCTGGATGATAGCCTTACTGAGGAAACTAGTGGCAGAGCAAAAGTACAGCATCATCATGCAGCTCATGGATGATAGGATTGTGCATGTATGTTAATTGTATGTTAATTGTATTAATTGCTCGTTTGTCACACACAGCAGGCCCTCGCTTAAATGTTTAGCATCGTTACTTGGCGGACCATTTTATGTATTGAGGTTATGAGGAGCAATTCCTTAAAGCTGTCCCCAACATTGTCAAGTAGTGTAGACAAGACTAATATTACAATAAGGAAGTCATGCGTGGTTATATCTTGCACAACTACCTTCACCTATTTGGTAAATTAATCTTTAGGTGAGAGAAAATGTTATCAGGAGTGAATAATAATAGTATAAATGTATATTACTATTCACTCCTGATGTTTTATATCAACAGGGATGTGTAATAACCATTGGTTATCTAAATAGTTTATTGCAGCACATGCTAAATTGGATTAATTTGGGCATAGGGTGTGACAAGCTAAATATTTACCAGTTTAATTGTAAATGAGTGCAGTATGTGATCAACCCAGCGATAGTTGAATTGAAACTATTACTGATTATTTATTTTTCCTTTTTATCTGCAGATATTTGAGAAGTTGACCATCATTCTGGTGACAAGTGCACACATGAATGTACTGTCATTCATGCTACTCTCATGCCAGCATTCTGCACAACCCTTCCATAAGGTAGTCACAGTCAAGAATAAGTAATATCGGAAAGTCCTGCTGTGCTATGTAGGTCATAGAAAAAGGGGCTATAAAAGGGCCGAGGCACGCTTAGGAAAGTACATGATTAATGTAAACACTCGTGCGTTTTTAGTTTTTGCATTAACACAAACATTGCAAAATATCCCAAATGACCACAATCATATTTGTGAATGTTTCTGTAAACAGAAACGCACCTGTGAATTGAAGTGCGAAGTTAGTGAAGAGAATTATAGATCAAAAACCTAGACTAGTCCTATCCTAGCCATGTTACATATAACCAACTTATACCCCCTCTTATCTGATCTCAATATGGCTGCGGGGACTTTCCGATATGGCTTATATAATAGAAACGACTACAGGCTTTATATTGCTGTCTGGTTGCCATGATGTATATTATGCCTGCCAGACCATCTGGTGGCATTCATACCATTAGTGTCCTGGGCCAACCTGTGCTGCTTACTTGGCCAATGCCAAGTATGCAATGTCTGCGTATTGAGGTGGGAATGAGTGTGTTGCTTTAGTCGCATGCCTGGCTGTTTGTTTCATTTCCGAGGCGAAATTTTGTTAATGTTCATTCTTATTGTTACAGATCCAATTTGTTGTGAATGTTCATTCTTATTGTTACAGATCCAATTTGTTGTGAATGTTCATTCTTATTGTTACAGATCGTGAGGCAGATACCCACAATGCTGCGTCTTTTACAAAGAGATGGCGCCGCCACGGGTTATGCCAAAAAACTCGCAAATCTAACCTATGTGTTGCTGCACCTGCACCCGGGTTATCCTGACCTATACGAGCCCATGCTGGAGCGTTTACAGGTATGCAGGGCTGTCTATCCATCTGATTCAGGGGGTTCTTAATCTGTGATTTATGGACCCCTTTGGGGTCCGTGGATGGGCTTCAGGGGGTCCGTGAACCAGGCGCATGCAAAATTTTGTGTTCATGTGCTTGTGTGTATTTTTCTGGTGAGGGGTCAGTAGCTTTAAACAGATTCTCAAAGGGGTCCATGACTCAAAAGAAAAAGAACCACTGATACTGATACTGATACTAAGACTCTGATTGAAACAACCATGCCACCTCCTAGAATGTTATTGCTAGGTCCGTCAAAAAAGACGAGTTTATGCATGTTTTTCGCGTGAATATACCAAATTGTTGACCTTGTAGTGTTTCTGAGCGGTCTCTTCTAAAACGTTTGATCACAACAATGATTCGATAGAGCTTCCTGTAAATCGCACCAGGCTAATAGGTCAATGTGTACTTGTCAGCCATGATGGGCACCTGAATAGCAATCTTGGGCAATCTAGCTAAGTGAACATCATTCTGTCTTGTATGAAAATATGAGCTAGTATGAAAACCAGATGACACTTAGCTGTCAGAGTCACCACAGATACCCTTTTTCTCATATTATACATTTCGTATTTTATCGAAAATTCAGTTCATCCCTTGCGTTTCTCATTGTTTTAGTAGTATCAGGAGCGTATAATGACAAATTGTAATGACAATAATGACAATATATGACGCGTATAATGACAATTTGTCATTATACGCTCCTGGTAGTATGTATGTGCATGTGCCTGCGTGCGTGTATACATGCATGCATGTGTATGCACGTGCGTGTATGTTTCTTTCTTGGTTTGTAATCCGGGTTATTCTCATACTCGATCACAGGACTATCCCAGGCCTACCCCAGAATACATTCAACAGCAAATCAGAGATCACCAATGGAGTTGTGAGAAGCCTTGTATTTACCAAAGCACTAGCGTTCTGCTGGCAGACCGATCAGAAACGGGCAAGTCTTTGCAAATCATCGCATGATAAGCAGATGTTGATAAGCTGTAGTAGCACATTGATGATGTTAGATAACGCTTTTGCTAGTTCACAATGGCGACGAATATTGAGGCAAGTTGTAATCTATGGACGTATATATATGTATATATAAAGTGCTTGTGTTATGTGCATTTCAGTCATGTCATATTCATTGTCTTATATTATTATTATTATTAAATCTGATATTGCATATCACACAGGTTGCATATATATATTTAAAGTGTATTATTTCGTATACGTCATCGAATAATTACAAGATTGTGATATTTACCTGTTGCAGGCAAGACAGGTCTTGTGAATTTGGGAAATACCTGCTACATGAATACCATCATTCAGACTCTCTACATGTGCCATGAGTAAGGAGTTAAATAATTACACGATCATAACTATCATGGCTGTCTTGTGATGTGCTGCTGCAAGCATGCATTGTACATCTTTCATGTCATACTTCGATGAACCCACCAATATGCATTGGTCAGTGTTGGTGCAGATACAATAAGATAAGTCTGTTGGACAGTCGAGATTAAAGTGTGTCGTTGCCTGTTTGCAGTAGCACATCATGTCAGTTGTAGGTATATAGCACCATTAGTGACTACATCAGTACATCAGTTGTTGTTGTGGTTTGTGGTAAAATGAGTCCTATCCCATAGTCGACCTTAAATTATGTTTAATTTGCATTAATTATTATATTTCGTTTGTTTCTGTGTTGATGTCCTTCAGGTAGTGTCTACTGTAAATTTAGTTAACACGTCAGTCGGTATCCATAAATAAAGCATTGTCGCGCAATCGACGCATTAAACCACGTGTTTTTGCTAACAGTAAGCACGTAATTAATCAATCGTAGAATGATCACGTCTGTACCTTCGTTTGTTCACGTAGCTTGTATTTGCTAACGTAACGGTAAGCAGTGTTAAACCACGTAATCAATCGTAGAATGATCACGTTCGTTCCTTCGTTCACGTAGCTTGTATTTGCTAACGTAACGGTACGCAGTGTTAAACCACGTAATTAATCAATCGTAGAATGTTCACGTCTGTACCTTCGTTTGTTCACGTAGCTTGTATTTGCTAACGTAACGGTACGCAGTGTTAAACCACGTAATTAATCAATCGTAGAATGTTCACGTCTGTACCTTCGTTTGTTCACGTAGCTTGTATTTGCTAACGTAACAGTAAGCAGTGTTAAACCACGTAATCAATCGTAGAATGTTCACGTCTGTACCTTCGTTTGTTCACGTAGCTTGTATTTGCTAACGTAACGGTACGCAGTGCTAAAGCACGTAATCAATCGTAGAATGTTCACGTTCGTGCTTTCGTTTGTTCACTTAGCTTCCGGCAGCTGGTGACATCATCGTCATCATCATCAGCGCGTCGCACGATACTGTCCAGCATCGAGACGGTGTTTGCCTTCCTCGCGCACAGCCGGCGGCCCGCCTATGCGCCGACACCCTTCCTCACCGCCGCGCGTCCGCCCTGGTTCCAGCCGGGCTACCAGCAGGACTGCTCCGAGTTTCTCCGCTACCTTCTCGATCAGATGCACGAGGAGGAGGTGCTAGTGGGCAAGGCGGCGACAGCGGCGAAGTCGCCGCCTTCGAGGACGAGCGACGGCGGTTTGAGCGGCGGAAACATGTCGCACGCTTCCGCCGTTGCCACGACGACGCAGTATCACGGCGACGAGCCGCAGCAGTCGGGTCAGAGGTCGGAGCGAGCGCGGTCGCGCGCGGGCATGCCCGAACTCGGCAGCATAGTGCGCAGGGTTTTCGGTGGAACTATGGCGTACACTTGCCGCTGTTTAGGCTGTGGTGCTATCTCGAGGCGGGAGGAGGTGTTTACGGATATACCGCTAGCCTTTCCCGTGGAGCTGGTGGCGGGTGTCTCGGACATTGCGGTGGACAGGAGCTTGTGTGCCCTCATAAAACATTTCTTTCAACCTGAGAAGATGGAAGGAGAGAACAAATATTTCTGCAATAGGTATGGGCTCTGTTGCTTTTATGTATAAGTGATTTGAATTGTAGTATCAGTTGAGTTTCTCTCACATTCTTCCCCTGAAGTGAATCTTTAAGTTGATATTTATCTCATTCAATGACAATACTCAATGATATTATGATCACTCAACATAATTTACCGCGTCCGACGGGTTAATTCAAAATAGTCATCTTCAGAGCACATTTCTGGCTCATTGAGAACATTTCGTGATGTTTGCATACAGTAGGTGTATATAGGCTTTTTGTTGCAAAGTTTATTCACTTTAATGATCGAGTGGATGATATATATATATATTTAATGATTGAGTGGATGATATATATCTATTTAATGATTGAGTGGATGATATATATCTATTTAATGATTGAGTGGAACTTTTAACCTTTTAATCTTTCTGTGACCTTCAGCTGCAACAGTCTCCAGGAGGCTGAGCGTATTGGCCTCGTGCGTTCGCCCGATATATATATTTATTGATCGAGTGGATGATATATATATATTTATTGATCGAGTGGATGATATATATATATTTAATGATCGAGTGGATCATATATATATATTTAATGATCGAGTGGATCATATATATATATTTAATGATCAAGTGGAACCTTTTAACCTTTCTGACCTTTAGCTGCAACAGGCTCCAGGAAACTGAGAAGCGTATTGGCCTCGTGCGTCCGCCCGATATATTTATTTCAATTAATGATCGAGTGGATATATATATATATTTAATGATCGAGTGGAACCTTTAACCTTTTAACCTTTCTGACCTGCAGCTGCAACAGTCTCCAAGAGGCTGAGAAGCGTATTGGAGTCGTGCGTCCGCCCGACAACCTCGTCCTTAGCCTGCTGCGATTCTCATACGACGTCGAGACGCACGCGAAGACTAAGATCCTCACCGACGTCGAATACCAGCGGACGCTGCATCTGCCGATCGATGCGCGCGGTGCCGCCGGCGCCACCTACGCACTGTTCGCCATCATCGTCCATTCCGGCACGTCGTCCGAGTGCGGCCACTACTACTGCTACGCTCGCTCGAACCGTCGTCCGAACGCCGACGCGCTGGACCGGCTGCGGGCGCGCTCTGGTGGCGGCAACGCCGAAGTCGGCGTAGATCGACTCGCGGCGCACTCTGGTGGCGAGGCGGCGGCGGCAGACGCGGACGTGCTGGAGGATGAGTGGTGCTGCTTCAACGACGATCGCGTGACGTTCTCGCGATACGAGTCGTTCGGCAGCGTGAGCAAACATTTTCCGCGCGACACGGCCTACGTGCTGATGTACAGACGCGTCGACTCGTGCGATGTGGCGTCGTCGCCGCCGCTGGTCGCCGAGTCGAGAGAGGAAACGGGTTCGCTTCTGAGCAGGACGCTTCGGTTGGCGGTGGACACGGACAACGCAGCTTTCATTAAGGTGTGGTGGCAACGTCAGCGCTCGCAGAACGAACCTGCTTTCTTAATGGCTGCTGTTGTAAACTAACAATATCGTAATAATATATAGTTATAAGCGTAGTTTAGCGGGAGTGGAACGAATTAAATGAATGAAAATGTTGGGGAAACACTGAAGCTGATGAGCAATAAGTTTATGTTGTTTTTACAGGAGCAGGAGCATGCGTCTAAGCGGAGACGCCTTGGCAGCGCCGGAGTTAAATCGCTGCCGTACTGGCGTGACGATGACCGAGGAGGTGGTCCCCCGGGAAGCTGTGGGGGTGGCGGGCCTGGAGGTGGCTTTGACTCTCCCATTAGGTTCGTGTGCTAGAGTGTTTGTCGCTGAAGCCGACGCAGTGTTGCTTATGTAATTCATTGAGATTTCTACTGCTATTCTTGGGCCAAAGTAGCTTTGGATAAAATGAGAGTCAGAGTTAAGGTGAGGTGAAGGAATTTGATTCGATATGGAAACAGACAGTAAGTAAAATAGAAGACGAAAACGGAACATTTCTGCTGCTGTTTCTCTTTACACGAATTCATCCTCGTTCCTGTGAGTATGTAAAATAGTAGTAAAGTTAAACATTACTGCCTGTTTATAATGCCTTACTGTGTAGTTCAAATAATTTGTATCAAACTACAGTAGACGCAATGTAAATAATTTATTGAAATGCTGTACGTGAATATTGTAGCCTTGGAAAGGAAATTGTAAAATAAGTAGCATGTCCCTGTTACCAAAATGAAATTCCAACTTAAATGAAAAACCCATTTGCCATGGTTTCAACTTCTACTGGTGGGTGGGTGGTTTATAGAGCATCAAATACAAAATGTCTTTCGTGACGTTCGTCCCACTAGTTATATAACTTGCTAGGCAAAAACTTTGGAATAAGCCCCAATAATTTTTTGTGCCTGTCATACATGTATCGACCAGTATAAACGCTAGGGCTGTAACGATACACAAGCCTCTCGGTTCGATCCGGTTCTCGATATTAGCCTATCGATTCGATTCCTTCGATTCGATTCCCAAAATATTGAAATGTTATCTTATTTTTTTTATTTTCATTATTTTGCAATAATAAATTATTAGAAATTGCCAATGGATACTAAATGGTGAATAGACTAGAGAGTCTAGAGAGTATAATACACTGCACAGTCGCTGAGAAACATTGGTGAGTAACACCAGAGCATATAAATCAGTGATTTATATGCTATGGTAACACTCCACAGTATATAGCGTAGTGCCGCCATCTATTGGAGGAAAAAAGTGGTATCGAAGTGGAATCGAAAATACGGGGAAAAATATCGAGGATCGGATCGAGGGAAGAGAATCTCGATCCGATTCGATTTCGGTGGATCGTTACAGCCCTAATAAACGCACAACCTCAAAATAATTTACTTGTCTGATGTTATCTATGACGGCACAATGCAAGTTGGAAGAAATTTTTTCTTCTACCCTGAGTTTGTTCATAAGAGTTTGCTCAATTGCCTTTGCAGTGGTACTGCATCTTGATGGAAGACAATAATGTATTTTATATTTATTATATTGTTCAAAACCATCAAGTTTGTTTAATATATGAGATTATTTAAACAAGTGGTGGTTTATATAAATCTTTTGCGCCTTACTTCAGAAGTTTACTTGTTTTGATTGCTCTCCTGCCATTGTGATTTTATATGTTTCCGGTTTATATGGTTCCAACCAAATGCCTGCTGGAACTTTCCTAGTTTTACTTCTGCTGTTTCTCTTGAAAACCTTTAATGCCATTACCAGTGCACAATGAGTCAATGACTGCGTGAATGAAACGTATTTTAATTGCAACTGAACAATAATAGCAATAACAATCGATCAGGAATGAGTAAAACAAATGTTTGTAAATATAAATTGTTGTAAATTTGTTATATACACACGCACGCTCGCAAGCACGCACATATGCGTGCACGTATATATATATCAGAAGTAGATAATAGGGAAGGAGTGTGACTTCAATAAACAAGGGAAATTCGTCATTTACTAGCCTTAAAATACTTACGATTTACTACGCGTAACTCAACCAACTTGAGCTCAAATCGTACACAGTACATTCGCCTAGCATCGTGCAAAATCGTTTCCTCGTATACACCCGCAATCCGGAGATACAGACTAAAACGTACGACACGATTCTGCATTCTGTTGCCAGCAAACCGAATGTATAAACCGCCTAACTTGAAACAAAAGGCAGCTGTAAATAGGTCAACGATTAGCTCGCCGAGTGTTACGTCGATATCCAATCTCCCAGCGAGCCACGCCGCATCGCCGAGGGCGCAAGAGTCGTTAGTAGCTGCCTTTTGTTTCAAGTTAGGCGGTTTATACATTCGGTTTGCTGGCAACAGAATGGATTTTCGTGTCGTACGTTTTAGTCTGTATCTCCGGATTGCGGGTGTATACGAGGAAAAGAGTTCGCACGATGCTAGGCGAATCTATTGTGTACGATTTGAGCTCAAGTTGGTTGAGAATCAGATACGTGTAGTAAATCATAGGTATTCCAAGGCTAGTAAATGACGAATTTTCCTTGTTTATTGAAGTCACACTCCTTCCCTATTATCTACTTCTGATATATACGTATGTTACACGCAATCTTCTGATCTGCATAATCTTAAGATTGCGCTGCGCAATCTACAGATTGGCAGGCTGCACGGCAATCTTGAGATTGCGCTGTACTTGAAACAAACGAAAATATACGTCCGTAATAAAAGATCAGTGACTGCGCAGATCGGATGATTGCGCGCAACAATATATATATGCATGTGCGTGCGTGCTTGCGTGCGTGCGTGCGTGCGTGCGTGCGTGCGTATGACAATAAATGGAACATGAGACTATTTCAAGAACATTAATATATGTTGTGAGTTTAATGGCTCACATTTTTAAACTATTTCATTGTATCCAACAAATAACAGAGGCGAGTGAAGAGAAATAAACTGTTAATGTTAATATTATTTTTATGACTATGACTGCACTTAATTGAGCATTGACCTTTGTATATTTTTTATAGTGGCGTTTGTTCAGGGTTCGTAGCGGGTCTTCCAAAGTCTTATGAGTACTTATTTTGCCAAAAATAAAATAAGGGCCCTTAATAGTACTTATTTTTTGTGAAATCTTGGAAAAGTACTTAATAGTACTTGTTTTTTGCTAAAGGACCATTTTTCAACATTTTCTGTGTTGAATTTCGGCGAAACGGCTTTATATTATTAGCGTACTTTAATAGTCGGTGATCTATCAGAAATCGCGTAAAAGTCTTATTTTGGCCTCCAGAAAGAGTCTTATAAGTCCTTATTTCAACATGTGTCTTACTACTATGAACCCTGTTGTTGATATATCTATGCTTTTACGATCAGACTGGCAGCTAGAGTATAAATCGATTACTGTTTTGAAAAATAGAAAGTTAACATATTTTAAAAGAATGATAGTAATCTTATTTTAGAATGTGTTTAGTTGTGATGTATCGAAGTATACTGATTACTTTCAGTTAATGATACGAAAACACGGATGTAACATTTTCTATTCAGATATATATATATATATATATATATGCGTATATATTTTAACAAACGGGCCCATTACAAAATAATAAATGGCAATTGCGTCACAAACGTCAACTACTATAGTAATCAGCAACACATCTAACGTCTAATAAGTAACTATACTGATTAATTACGCCAAATATTGTTCTTCGCCCATGCAAAAATGATTTTACTATTCTTAAAACAAACTTCCGATTCTATTAATAAATCATAACAATGTTCAATGTGCCATTTTCATTCGTAATACGCGTAAATAAAACTCGTAGGGCTACACCTGCAGCAAACGTGTGTGATAACGCTACGTACGTGCACGTATTTCCACACCCTTGCAGAAGTGCTACACAACATATGCATTATGATATATAGCACAATCTATATATAGTGGAGGTTTAATAACAGAAGTAATGGCTTTGAGTAATATGCTTTGATTGTGTGATATGTGTGTTCATACAGAGGCATACTGAAATTCGCAATACTACTGTTTCCTTACGAGACCCATACGAGCACGATTCTGCTGATCTACAACATAACTACATCTCTCAGTGGCGTAGCTAGGATTTTTTCAG